CCCCCCCCCCCCCCCCGTGCCTCTCGTGGCACGCGTGGAGCATGCGGTATGTGAGCTCTTTCTGCTGGGCCGCTCTTAAAGCAAGGCAGTGGCAGGCCATGCGGGAAGGGCCGAACTTCCCGGAAAAATGAGGCGGGTTGGGGGCACGCAACCGCTTTGCAATGGTTCCTGGTGACTGCGCGGTGCCCCAGCCCGGGGGGTCTCTTGCAGAGGGGTGAGAGCTGGCACGGGTGAGCGTGCGGCACACTGCCGCCTCTGTCAGTCACGGGGGATTATGCTGCCACTGTCACTGTTACCCGAGCGCCCTCCCTCTAAAACTGGGAGTAAGAGTGGGGTCTGCGTGGGCTGTTTCAGGTGAATGGCTCTGCTTGGCCCAGGGGGGTTGTTGGCTGATTGTTGTAATTTTTTTAATTTGCTTCTTATTGCTCGGGGATCCCAGCAAAGGGTGGTGTCTAACTACGAGCAGGAGGATTCCCGGGCAGTGTTTGCATGGCCGCAATGGCTGCTCTTCCGGGGCCCAGTCGAGATTCCCAGGCTTGACGAATTGGGGGGGCCACAGATTATAACAGCAGAACCGCAGGGGGTGTCCTCCACCATGGTGCCCCAGGGACCACTGCCCCTTGCCTTCAGGCTTCTTCCAGGACGGGTGCGGGGGGCGATCACATCCCAACGTCCGTAGCATCACTCCTGGCACGGTCCCAATTATACCTAGCGCTGCAGTAGCCGGCCTTGCATCTGGGATGTGCTCAGCAGCATCTCTTGTAGGGAGCCGTGTTCTTGTATGCAGTTTTATAAAGCTGCCTGTATGACCACGGCTTCTGGGTCTGCTACAGATCATTCAAATGCAGAGACGACAGTAGTGGCTGTGTCGTTGGTTGTGGGGGGGGAAAAAAGCAAACCCCGCAATGAGGTATTTCTGGTACCTCTTGGGGAATGAAGGGTAGGGTCCAACCTGCATGAACTGGGGAGATGCTGCTGACCTCAGTGCTAGCTCTCCAAACCCCTTACACGGGAGAAGTGCTGCATGGGCTTGACCCCGTTTCCATTTTGCTCAGTGGAAAAATGTCCCTTAATTAACACAACACCAGATCAAACCCCACGAAAGCAAGCTGCCGTTGTCTCTGCAACCGCATTCCCAATTGTCTCCCAGCTTTGGGTATGGAATTTCCTCGAACGAAGCCTTCAGAAACACTGCTCTGCTCCGACTCGAGCACAATTTAAAACATGGTTACATTTTAATTTGATCAGCTGCTTGTCAGACCTATTCACCAAGTATCTAGAAAGCAAACCAAAGCGATGCTTAAGCCCAGGGTTTTTTGTCTATGGGGGGAAAAAACAAACTTTAGTCAGCTCTGTGGAGCCCAAGCTTTTGAATTCTGCACTGTTCACAGGGTTAAACTCAAATATGCAAGTGCAATAGTTTAAGGAATAAATTCCAGAAGCTGTTTAACTCTTGGTTTCATTGCAGAGCAGCGATCAGGTTGAGTTAAGCAGAATTGCTGTATGCAAAAACATCTGGAATAATATCATATTTCCACAAAAAGGAATTTTCTTTAGAAAGAGCAATGATGTGCTGATATTTGAGAGGATGGAGCTAATAGCAACCTACAAATTCTGGAGAACCAATTAAGAATTTATTGCATAAAATACTGGGACCTTGTTGGGAATCTTGATTTTATTTTTATTTTTTTTTGGTTACAGGCTTTTTAAAAACAAAAACAACCCCCCCTCCCAAAAAAAACAGAAATTGATCTTGAACTTGAACTTTCTCAAGTGGAGGGATCAATGGGAGATCTTGGTGTCGAGTCGCAATACGTAGCTTTGGACTTTATTCCAATTAACCAAGTCGCAGGAAATGTGTTTGGAGCTTTTCTGGCTAGGTGATAGTAAAAAACCTCTGGGGGGAAAGGTGGTGTTTGTTTATTGTGAAACAATAATTTGAGCATAGAGCAGTGTGAATATGTTTGATTTTAAAAACACTTTGAAACGATTTTGATGTCTCCTGGGAGAAATCATTTCCTCTCTCCCACTAGAGAATATATCTTTTACAATTAAAGAGGTAACGTTAAAGCACTTCAAAATCTAAGTGAGGCTTAAATATTTTTTTTTAATTGCAAAGTCGATTAGGAATATAAATGTATAAGGTACAAATGTGGTGATTAATTTTGAGGAAGTTAGCGTTGGGAGAAGGGGGAAAAAAGATTTGAATGCAAAGGCAGCAGCTGTGCACTAAAGAACGACCTGCAGAAAGGTAATTTAAACAAAAATGAGTGCGTCCACTTCAAGTTTATTGTGCAAGGGAAAGAAAAGGAAACAAATAACACCACTAATGAAAAAGCACTTTTAGATATTTAAATGTTCTGCCTTAATATCGTTGTGGGCTGTTCAGTAAGAGTTAATGGCTCTTTTAGAAACACTTTTTCCTTTTGACAGTGTCCATTTGAAATGACTCTATTCTATAGGCCAGAAAAACAATTTGAAAATACTAAATTTTATAAAATAACTTGTACCTTTTTAAATAACCAACCTCTGAAGTACACAGAGTAATTCATTTAGGGTATATTTTCATCCACATTTCCCAAATCATAGTTAATAAAGAGCTTTAAGAACTTCACCCCGTATAGCTACCTCCAGTGTTACAACAGAGCAGTTTCACCGCATCATTTTATAATGTTTGCCTGTTGGAGTTCGAAGTGGTAAATTGAGATTAGAATTGCGTTACTCAAAGCCCCAGACTAAATTTAGCTCTGGGCTACACAAACTGCATTGCTTCAGCTTCATTGGAAGAGTTTGGTTCACACGTAGCATAGCTGAGCTCGTTCAGCATCTCCTTGGGGAACAAATTAGAGCCTGAATGAGGACATTCACGCACATTGATGACATTAATGCTGTATGCGTTTGGAGGCTCTGCATACATCCAGCCTGTAAAATGTACACCCTCTCTTCCCTCTTCCAAGGGATTTTATTTAATGTCTTTATCAAGAACCATTAAGGGCAATTTGGACACAGTGAAACCGGGCTGCTTTGACACCCATTCTCCGCTGAGACCTTTGCAAAGGTAGCAATAAGCTGCTTTCTGCAGAGCTCTCTCTGGAGTGACTCTCCTCCTGCAGCGCTCGCCCGATCCACGTCCTTGTTTCATACGCCTTTATTTTTACAAAACGGAGGAGTCAGGAGCATGCCGGCTCCCCAGTATGCAGCATTATGTAATACAGCTTACCTGGGGTCTGGCACGTGGACCTTTTTTTTAAACTTTGGGATAATATTACCCTCCCTCCCGCTTCCCCCTACCCCCCCCTTTTTTTTTTTTTTTAACTGTAGTTTTATCACAAAACATCTGGTTGAGAGTTCAGGCTTGAAAGATCACTTTGAATTTTATTTCTTTGCACTGTATTGTCTACAATCCAGACTGGGATTGCAGCTCTAGGGAATTACCCTGTACCGGCAGGCTTGCGAGGTGAAGTTTCTCCAGTGAGCATTTACTGACCTTCGCCGGCTGGGGAGCTGGCCGGCTGTGCACCGTTTTAGGGAGCAGCAATAGTCTCTGAAAATCCGCCCAAAAGCCTTTTTAACCTGTCTGTAATGAATATTCTGTTGTAAAGTTTTGGTAGCTCTGGATCAGCTGTACGAGGCTGTACTATATGTGACCAGCTCTTTCATTGTGAAACACATTTTCCAAAAATAACTATTTTCTAACTTGTTCCTAGCGCTCCCTTTTAACGCCCAGTCCTGATCATCTGGGTTGGAATGATATAGAAATTTTTAAAAAAATAATTAGGCTGTAGCAAAAATGCGCTGGGCTGTATCTGAAGCTGTTGTAAATGGGCAGAAATGTTGATGCTAATTGAATGGATGTCTGCTGCTTGTACGCCAGCGGAGGGTCTGACCCAGCTGTCCGCAGACCCGTCTCGCGGTTCGTTCAGGCGTTGTGGTTCCCTCCTGCATTAGGTGAAACGTGCTCCGTCGTTCCAACGTACCGTCCGAGTATCAACTCCCGGCAGGTGGACTTCAGTGGCGCTTTGCTGATTTACTCCAGCTGAGGGCATGGCCCGGTGCGAGGGGGACCGTATCCCGTGCCGTCTGCAGCTTCCGTGTTCCCGGCACCGCAGCAAACCCGCCAGCATCACCGAAAAATGGATGGGAATAAAAGTGGAACGTCGCAAACTGATTCTGTTGGGTGAGCTTGAGGAACATGCAGAAAGGGGCTTGGGCAGCACAGGCTGGCAGGTCAGGATGCGTCTGAAGTGTGCTCTGTTCAGACCCAGGACAAGACAGCGCCTCGGCCTCCTGCTCCTGTTATACTCTGCAGGAGGCAGGACCGTGGGCTCTGGCCTCTGGATCAGGGTTTTGGGCCCAACGAAGAGTATTGTTGACTTCAGCAACAGCTGCAGGAGGACCAGAGTAGATCTGCTGGTGCTGCTGTGCCTTAACTGAACTCAAAACTCCTCGCGAGCCTAGAGGGAGCGGGATCAGGCCCTGGTTTGCTAACTAACAGTCTTTGAAAGGTATCAAAGGCTTTTATTTTTTTCAGGCCTGGTAAGTTCCTGGAGAAAGTAAATGCACACGCTGACACCAGAGCAAATGAAGAGTCTCATGGGTCCCATGGAAAGTGCTCTTTTGCTTTCTGAGGCTTTTGACTTGGGTTTTGAGGCCACCTAAGTACCTGGGGCACGCTGCCTCGCAGTTACACATGCACTGCGGAAGAATTTTATGTACCTTTTGCCTAAGTCTTATGGAAAACTGGACTCCCTTTTGCATGCCGCTTTTTCATATGTTTAAAGTTACGTGTGTAGGAAATAGCTTGTCGCCGATTGTCTCGCTGTCTGATCGCTGAATGGAGATCGCAGGCAACATGGCATATACGTTACTCGCGCGCTGGCTCTACAAAATGTTTCCATGATTCTTCTGCCATCTGTCGAAGAGGAAGAGTGTGTAAAGTCCCTATTGCCTTTACTTTAAGGATCGAAGGTCCCTGGTAGTAGTAAAGCCAAATGTTCAACGATACATTTTACGGTGTCTGTATCAGTCTGGTTTTATTTAATGGCATTTCACAATGAGGGTTGAGACGGGCCATTTCTGGATCCTGAATTGAACCGCCAAATACAGGATTGAGAATAGGGCTAGAAATCCAGTAGCTGTAGGAGAGGCTGACAAAGTCGGCAGGGTGAGACCGCAAGGAAGAAAGGATCCACATTCCCCCAAACGTCCAAGCTGTGTAATGCCATTCAAGCAGCAGTCGAGCCAAGCAGATATATGGTGTAATAAAACACATTTTTAAAAAATTGTCTTTAGTTAGAGAATCAATAAAAACTTGTAGCAGGACAACGAGGTCTTAACTAGAAGTTGGCCCAACTTAAAAAGTTCATCAGATTAGTAGCACGACAGGAGAGAGACTGTTGTTGTTCCGTTACGCCTCTCCAGGCGTGCAGCACTTCTTGCTTGCTTGCCCTGGTGAATAAATCTGCTCTTTCATGAGTCTGACAATAAATAATGCAATTGGATCAGTTAAAAAGTCACAGCCACAATTTATCAATTATTGTGTCTCTTCTCATTCCTTAGAGTGACTTCTGTTGGGAGGACGCTTCCTGCAGAACGGACACAATCCTCTTCTCTAATCCCTCTAATCAGATGCCTTGCCCTCCGGGTTGTCCATTGAAAATTGATTTGCGCACGCTGTGCACTAATTGAAATTGCCTGGGCTGTCAGCATTCGGAGGGGTTGGATTGGAGGCAGGCGAGGAGTTTTCCTTCCCCGCTTCTGGCTCAGTCCAGCCGGCGCTCTGGAGGGGTCGTGAGGATTTCTCATTGAGCTGGCATGTTGTTGTTGCATCCACCTCCTATGTTTTAAGAAGCGGAGCTTTTTGTGGACTCCCTTAGTTGCATTTCCTCCCCCTCCGATCCCCCTGCACCCCCAGCGCTGGGAAGTGGATAAGATTTGCTGCTTTTTTTCCTCTCTCTTTCTCTCTTTCTGCACTTTATTTTAAGCTGGGAATAACTCTGTGCTGGGGAGGCGGACTGTACAGCCAGAAAAAATACTCGCTACATCCTGTAATATTTTGAGTAATGAAATGTGAATTCACGCGGACGCAAGATGGATGTTGGATTTATTGACTGCGGAGTCTCCGCTTCTAATATTTACGACGCGTTTATTTTGTTTGATTGATAACATTTCCTGGCTGCTTCTGAGGCTCTCGACTAGCTACCCAAACACGAACGAGCTGGTCCCCATGAGCCCCTACGAAAGAAGTGGGTGTTTTTATCATCTCCTCCGTGGAGGAGGATGCATAGTGCAGCATGCAGAGCCCGTCGGCGGCAGAGGTGGGAGTCCTGAATCCTGGTCTTCGGCACTCGGCCCCTTCTTATCATGCGCCGGTCTTTTGAGGGGCTTGCATGATGATTTATTTTTACAGCAGAACAGGCTGCCGTGACATGGAAAGAGAGTTAACCATTTTCTCCACGCGAGGGGTATGCAAGGCAGACTATCCTGGCAGCAGGGGCTGGTGCTCGGTACAGAGCCTGGAGCCCGAGGTGCAGAGCAAGAGGTGCCAGGCGTGTTTGCTTTGGCTCGTTGCAGAGAGGAGGATGTGGGAATACTGCTTTGTCACGCGCAGCTGAAGGATTTAGGAACCCAAGTCGACTTCACGTTAGAAGGGCCTTTTCCCTTGTGCATTGCCAAAATGGAGTCTCTGCAGTGGGAAATACTTATTTGAAGCGTGATGTCTCGCCTTTCAAGTAATTGAGACCCCACAGGTGTAGCGCAGCGTTGCTTCCTCGGACGTGTTTTTCAGCCTTTTATTTGCAGTTCATTGCCGCAGTCCCACAAAGACTTGAGGGCGTGCTTAACCTTTTATGCAAAGTCTTGCTCTCCTCACCCTGCCTGTTGTCTTTGGAAAAAATGTGTGCATGGGGGGCGGGTGTTGGACTTGGCAAAAGTCCCGAGCTGATTTCCAAACTCCAAATGATTTTGTGTGACTTTAGCTTTTGCAGGGATGGGCAAAATACAGCCCGCGGGCCAGATCCGGTCTGCCAGGTGACTGGATCCGGCCTGCAGCGCTCCACATGGGGCCAGACCCCACCTGCTCACCCTGGGCCAGCCCTGGCCAATGCACCCAGGTCCTGGCGGGGCTGTTCCTGGCCCACGACGGCTTATCAGAGCTCCCCGCGTGGCCCTCAGGCCCAAATAATTGCCCACTCCTGATCTAGGCCCACTACTTTTATTTCTGGATAATGTTAATAAACTAACACGACTTGTGGTTAGTACGTTTTGGCACTGTGCCATCCAGATAACCTATGCTGGGGGAGAAAAAACATTGCAAGAAAAGGGTCTGCTTAAAATGAGAATTCAGGTTCCTGCCGAATCTTTTGGGAATGGTTTGGGGTGGCGGTGGTTTTTTAAATCAGGCTGCAGCAATGCAAGGAGGTTGAATAAAATGCTTTCACTTACTGGGCCTTCAGAAATTAGGGAAACGAGGAGCCTGACAGTTCTCGTTGCATCAGATTAGCTAGGTGCTCTGATCTGGCAAAGCAGTCAGCGTACGCTTAGCTTTTGAGCATGTGACTCGTTACATCCTGATTTGGTGAATGAACGCAGCAGGCGTTCGACTCGAAGTGCACGAGAGCTGCCCTGGGTGCATGCGGCAGCATCGGGGACTTCTAAAAATACCGGCGTGCAATAAACCAGTGAGTCGGCCGGTGATTTTTTTTTCCTTGGAGTTCACAAAGGAACCTAAGGAAGGTGATTTTTGTAGGGTCGGTGCTAGTGGTGAGCCAGCCTTGTACTGCCTGGGCTGTCGGTGCAGGGCCGTGCCCGTTTACGCTCTTCAGAAGTCCTTAGTTTAATTAACTTTGCACTTGCAATTAATTTTCCGGACACTTTCTCTACTCATTGTTTACCATTTTTGCCCTTCTCAGCACTTCTGGCCGATGGAAACGAATGAGGTCAGACTGCTTCTTAGGGCCACGTTTGGATTAAGCGAGTGCCCGCGCCTCGTGGTGAATCCGAACTCGATGCTGCGAGCGGCAGACCGATTCAAGAGCAACCATGTATTGTAAAGTGGACACTGGTGATGGGATTGCAGCCCGGTGAGCACAATACAGCTGATACATTCCCAGGCTGGTATTTATGAGATTTTATCGGGTATCTTGAAATCTAAATGAATTAAATGAAGTCCACAGCAAGGGAGCCTGTGTGCCAGGCTCTCTTTAGCTCTGTGCCAGCCTATGCTAAAATCACTTATTTAGGGTGGACTCACTTTGGCAGCCTCTGGGGTATTTGGTTTGATCTACCCCCAGAGTTTTCACCTGACTTGCTGCCTCATCTCTGTGCCAGGGAGCAACACTGGCATGGGCCGGAGGCTGTTTTCTAACCCGTGGCAAAGCCAGCATCCCAACTGTTCAAACACTTCGTTGCGGTCCCGTGCTGTAGGCCCATGTCCAGCCATCCAAGGAGGGCGTAATACAGCTGCTTCTGGAGGGGCTGCTCTAAGTTTGCTGCCGTGACTACTTGTTTTATTTAATATAATTCATCTCGTTTCAGGATGTAGCCTCCCCGCTCTGTCCTACTGGCGGGTGCATCCCCTGCACATAAATACCAGTGAGGTCATCCCAGTGGGGAGAGGTAGACGAGCATTCAAAGTTGCTATTTAAAGTGCCAGCTCTTGCACAGTTGAGTATGGCGTGTGGTTTCTTCCCTAGGTGGGCACAATGGAAAATCTGCGTAGTCTGTTTGATTATCTAAATCTTATAGATTTCAGAGACACTGTCAAGGTTAACTGATGTACCCTCCCTTAAAAATATCTTGTGCTCTCCACCTCTTTTGACGAGGCTGGGGGGGGAGGTTTCCAAATAGGATGGCAGAGTCAGTCCAAAGCAGATGGCTCTGCATACCCCACAAGTACGATGGGGATCCTGGTTGTAGTCCGGTGGCACGTTAGCAGTGCCCGTCCTTCCCTTCCGCAGGCAGCCTCTGCTCCTGGCCACGTGCACGCTTTCAGGAGTTGTCTCTTAAGGGGAACCCAAGCGTCTGCTTGCACAATAAACTCGGCTCCGTGCAGCCGAGTAGGAGGGCGCAGCCGGAGCTTCGCCAGGCCCAGAGCAGGAGTGGCCTGTGGGCTGCACAAGGAAATATGCAGTTTCCTGCATTGCTCAGTAATGTGCGTGTAGCTCTCCCTTTTGGGGGCATCGTCAGTCCGTGACCACGCTAAGTGGGTGGGTGTCTTTGGGCCCGACCCTGTTTCCCTCTGCTCTTGGAAATGAGGGTTGCAGCATCGGATCCTGAGCTTCCTCCAGAAGAGCGGAGGAGAGGTTTCCCGTGGTATTTTGGTGCCCTGCTTGGAGGAGCGTTGCTCCGAGCAGTGAAAGGGTGGAGCACAGCCAGCTTGTTCCTCCCCGTGGCTTTGCTCGCGGGGACGGGCTGAGCAGGGAGGCACGGCAAGCTGCACGGGTTGTGCGCACGCTGCCCCGCCAACCAAACCACAATGGAGAGGCCTAATTTTAGTTCTCTCCTCATCCCTGCCTGTCCGTCCCTCGAAGTAGTCGCCTTTCTGGAGTGGGGAGAGACTGCCCAAGCTTTAACGTCTGTCCGTGCGCTGTCCTGCAGAGCCGGTGCCACGGCCCTTTGCTGTAGCGATGGCCTGAGGAGCGGGTCACGGAGCCATCTCCGTTTGCGTACGTGCCAGGGCTGCTTGCGTGTTGCTTTGGAGAGCTGTAACCTTGTTTGTAAGAGGAAGATTGGCCCAGTCTGAATTTCAAGAACAAATTGGAGACAAGGCTCTATTCATAAAGGAGAGCATGTCCTTGCAGGGCCTAAACGCCGTAGATAACTGATTTCTGGATGCGTGCGTTGCCAGCATCTCTCCAAAGATGTTCCTACAGGCTGTGCATCGGCTGTTTTCTTGCTGTTGTGTCCACTGGCTCGTTCAAATGCAGCCATGGTCAGCCTGAAGAAACGGGATGCATTTATAGAGTTGCTCAGAGCATCCACATATGATCAATGACCCTAAAGCCAGCTCTTGCTCCAGTTTTATCTCAGTCGAGTTCTTCTGCGCACTGTCGGGAGTGGGAATAAAGCTCTTTGGTGGCAGCAGGTCAGGACCTACAGAAAAGGGCCGTAATTTAGGCTGGTGAAGTGGTGTTGGTCCCTTGGCAGTGCTGTCTGACCCCGGTGGAGCATCTGGCCCTTTGTCTGGTGTCTCGCACGCTCTCCGTTCTCACTCGCTGCCTTCCAAGGGAACCCGTCAGACAAAAGCTCTGCTTTAAAAAGGACGTGGCCTTGTATCTGGGACTAAAACCCCCATTTGGTTAAGGCTGGAGCAGTTGTCAACAAGGGAAGTCAGTGGTCACCCTGTGCCATGTCTCCCCTCTGCCCCCTGTTTTGCATGTCTCTGGGCTGAGGTCTGGATCCAGAACAAGCAGCTTGAAGCAGGTGCTGCCCCGTGCGGGATCCCAGCCCGTGCCTCCGCGCTATGCTGAATGCAAGTGCCAGCGCTCAGGCGTTTAAAGCTCGGCGCGTGCTGGGATCAGTCTTGCTCTCTGTCTTGTGGGCTCAGCACAGCACTGCTGCCGGGGCTTGGTGGTGCCGGAGAGGGATGCTTAATCCCCAGCCTCCCGTGCTGGGCGCTCCCAGGGCAGGGACCGTCCCTCACGATTCCCCGGAAAGGGCTAAACATCGCGGGAGTAAACGTTAAACTGTGCCAGCCCCCCTTTGACTCGAGTGGCTGCAGGAGTTTGCCAGCGAGGTCACCGTGTCTTTTCCATCCGTGGGCATCTCGCCCGACACGTAGGCTGCAGGGCAGGGACCGGCCTGCGTTCCTCCCCATTGGGACCTTATCTTTGCCTGGGGCGCCTAAGAGTGTCCCGGACGATGCTGATTAACAAGGGGTTGCCCACGTGAGTGCAGAAGAAAGGGTCCATGGAAATCGCAGCTGCGACCTCCTCTTTTAATTTTGATCCCGACACTTGGGTGACGCTTGTCCTTGCGGCCAGCTTGCTCCTGTTCCTCGCAAAATGAGGCTTCTGCTCCATGAGTCACGCTTCACCTCTCGCTGTGCCACAGGTTTATTCTTCGTTTCGGGCCCCGGTGTCATTAACCTGGGGACGCCTTTCTTTTTTTAAGCTGCTGCCATCGTTTTCAAACAAGATGCAAATGGCGTTTTGCTCGCAATCGCGGCATGTTTCTATTGCTAGGGCAGGGCAGGGGACTTTGCTGGCAGCGGGCTTTCAGGCTCTGCAAGACGATCTAAATAAAAGAAGTTGCGTGTCTGTTAACAGTGAGGGCCCAGCGGACCTTTCTGTCCTCTCACTGCCTGCTAACCAGGGCGCCATCACTCGGTAGGGACTGCGGGAGATATTAGGCTAATATTACACTTATCTGGGGTCTTTGTGTGCATGCAAAAGCCAGTCATTTATTTACCTGGCATGCAAAGCGGGCACCCTGCTCTGCCAGCTGTATCTCTGGGGATGGCGTTTGACCTGTAGCAGCCCCACTCTAGATGCTGTCCCGTACGGAGACGGGCGCTGAGCGTGCCAGCTGAGCCTGCTGCGTTTTGGAGACGACCGTTAATGCACCTGTTTGAAGCGGACGCCAGTGCCGTGCCTCCAAACGGAGGGGGAACGAAAAGCTGGTCTGCGTGAGGTCGGAGCGCAGCGGCGGTCACCCTCGCCCAGCTCCGTTTTTATGGATCGTTTGAGCCGGCGATTATTCTTCCAACCTGTCGCCAAAGTATGAACGGGGAAGGGTTTGCATGGCAGGAAGTGTATGTGTATACAGTACATGCGTGTGTGGGGGGGGAGGTGTTTAATTCGGCAGGAAGGATGGTGCGCGGTTGTGATATGAGCTCAGAATTTGGGAGGTGGGAGTTGGAGGCCTCTACTCTGCCACTGACTCCCTGCACAGCCCTAGGCAACTCCCTCAGCCCCTAATTTCCATGTGAAAAAGCGGGGTATTGGGACCTGCCTTCTGTGCAGGGAGGATTGGAGGGGGATATGCGTGTGGGCGGGGGTGCTGGAGGACAGATTTAATGCAGAGGAGCAAGAGGAGGCATTTGGGGAGTTGGAAATCAGCTCAGGACTCTTGCCAGGTCCACCCCCTCTCTCCCCTCACATGCACATTTTTTTTCAAGGCAACGGGCATGGGGAGGAGAGCAAGGTGTTCATCTCGCACATGGGTCTAGGCTGGGTTTTCTAGGCCTTTGGGAGCCCTCCCACTCGGCTCAGGTGAAAATCACTTCATCTGAAAGCTCTTTGGGGAAACGATCTGCTGTTGGGTGTATTTTGTGACAGGAGCTCCTGCAAAGCTCAGTAAGCGGCGTGTGATAAAACATTGCAACCCAGTTGCTTCTGCCACTAAATCAAAAGGTAGCATGTTGTAGGGAAGCCCTGCGCGACTCCCCACTGTTGACCCTGAGCACTGGGACCATCTGTTAGCGGACAGCACTTTATCTTCCAGTTGCAGCACAAATACTGCAGTAACTTGTACAGCGCCAGCCTGCGGCCTGGTTTCTGCGCTGGGCTAAGCCCTTTCTTCCAACCAGTACGGCGGTCCCCCTCATTTGCCCTGTCCCTTGTGCATGAATGCAGGATCCCACTTGTCTGGTGTTTTTTTTGCACTTCATTGGGTAACTGATGGCTGGCTAGGAGCTGCGAGGATGGCTGGGTGGCGTTTCTGCCTAGTGCTGACCGCCTGTGAGTTATTGCACCGTAATCCACAGCCACGTTGTTGCAGCATTTGGCTTGAGAGGAAAAGCCGACGATGACAAAGCACCTCGGGCTGGGCTGTGTCCGGGGCGAGCGCTGGGAAGCCTGCTGAAGCTTTCCCGTGTCAGTGTGACGCGGCGTGACACAGCAAAGCAAGGTACGGCTCTCCGCTGTTTTCTTTGCAGGGGACTGAGTGGCAGCAAGAAAAATGAGGGACTTTCAGGGGCAGCTGTGTTTTACTAACCCAGTCATAATGCCCCTAAAAATCCTTATTGTTCTTGCAATGTTCAACTAACCTGCAGTGCCAGGAAGCCCGGGGGGGTAAGTATCAGCTCTGCGCAGCCGGAGGGCTTGTCGTGTTGCAGGGATGTTTGCAAACTGGTAACTTGTTTGTAGGGGCCAGGGCTGCTTTTCTTTCCCCCCGCAAAAGCAAATCGGGACAGGAACAGCTGTCATGAGGTCTCTGATGGACAGTGTCTCCTTTATGCTCCGATCCCAAGCAACGCTAATATTGTATGGAGGAAACAAAACTGAAACTGAGCTATTTTATTCTCTTGGCTGATTCACTGGAGTGAAATGCCAAAAGCAAACAGACGGTGTAAAGGAGTAAGAATGTATTCACACCTACCCCCACGTACTCACACCCCCATGCACACCCACGTACTGCCCCCCTCCCCCCCCACACACACACACCCACACACGCATCCCCGCACAAGATTTTTTTATAACTACCAGCAATCTTGTTTGCAGGACATACGGCAAAGCACGTGTGCAGGTACCAGAGGGACCAGAGCCTCGGGTGGTGCAAACCTGCCAGCAGCAGAGGCGCAGTGGTTAATACCTGCTGGGATTCTGGCATGTAAATGTTTACAGCTTTTTCTTAATTAAAATATTCCTGTACACCCAGTTTGCTGGCAGATTTCAAAGCCCAGCCCTGCAGACACTCATGCTTAGAAGTCTTTACGGGATTTCAAGCGACTATGCCACACTGTAGCTGTAGATCATTAGCATTAAACACAAACTATTCGTAGCACATAATATTGCTGGTATCTTATACAAGTGAGCATTCACACACATGCAGATCTCCTTCCATTGCTCTCTTCTCAGGGGCTTCATCTCTAAAACCTTCACTTAACTCTTTAGCTGGGAGGAACCAGCAGTCAACACCTTTGTGAAGGCGTCACTGTCCCCTGGCTTTTCTCCCAAGCAAAGGGCCTGAGGAGCAGCAGCTGCAAACGGAGCTGAAAGGAAACAGCTGAAGGTGCAGCCTGTGTAGGAAAAGTGGAGGAAGAGGATGACTGTTAATTGGAAATTAGCTCTAGATGCAGATTTGCAAGGCAACCCAGATCCAAGTCCCAGGATCTTCAGCAGGGCGTTTTAGGACTCGCCCTGCACCACTGAAGTCCCTGGAAGTTTTGGTCTAGGCATAAAGGAGCCGGGATTGGAAGAAACGGGGTGACAGTGAAGTCCCGGACCCCATGCAGATGGGGTTCCCTGAATATTTACTGGCTCGTTTGCTTGTCTCCCAGCATTGCTAACCTGACCCCTCCCATGATCCAGCCCTAAGGAGAGATTGTGTCCTCTGCTACCTTGAACTCTAACCTCTTTTATCCCCTCTAATGACCTGCAGGGCCCTGCTGCTATGAACCTCTTGACTGTCTGGCCTGGAGACTGTACTGGACAGTCGGTAGTCACCCGAGATGAAGATAGCAACAGCAGAGGAAGGCACTGCTGATGGGAGTGTGCACTGGTCACAGGTGTGAAGGTAGCCAGTTTGAGAATAAAGGCTACGATGTCTGAGTGAGCGATAAGTGTAGTAACCTCACCCGGGCTTTCCCGTTCGGATGCCAGCCACGCTGACCGTGTTGTAGTGATGCTTCTCTGTAGTCAGGAGAGCTCGAGTGAGTATTTAATTCTGTTGCCGGGAGAAGGATTTAAAAATATATTGGTAGTCCTACCAGACTTGCAGATCAGGGGGCCACCGTATCCTGAATCCTGTCTCTGCAGGCAGCCAGCGCCAAAGGACTGGGGGGAAGGGGCATAAAACCTTCTCGTGGGCAATTCTGGGATTACCAGCACGAGTTCGTTTCCACCTCCACCTCCAGCTAGTTAGGAGTGAGCTTCTCTCGAGCCCAGAGTGCTTTACGTCCCATTGTATGTCTTGCCTTAACCTGACTCTGGTCATTTTTATTTCCCATATAACTACCTGCTGCTTCTCCAAGTCCTGCTAAACTCTTGGCCGTGGTGACATCCTGCAGCCAGGAGTTCCACGAGTTCATTACATAAAAGGTTTGGTTTTGTTTTTTAAATGCCCCTCTCCATTTTGAACCATGTTGCCCTTCAGCATCATTCACTACACCTTTGTTCTTGCATTGTCAATGGTTACCTTTTCTGTACCGTTCATTATTTTCCTATGCCTACTGTGTCCCCTTTCAAACAGTCCCAGTTAAAACCCATCCAGGGCTCAACTCATTTCCATCGACCTTCTCAGAGCCTCTCTATGTACAGTCTCCTTTTTGGAGATCAGGAACTGCACGGACTGTGTTTCATGGTTCATACGATGATCTCCGGTTTTCCTTTCCATACACCTCCTCATACTTTTCAAGCCCATCATAGTAGCAGTCCTTTTCCCACTGACTATTTAGTTTCTTTAAAAGCCTGTTGTGAAGGGTTTGGCAAGAGCTTGAACCACTTGTCAACTCACTCTCCTAGGATTTTTCTAATAGACTACAGGTGCCCAGTTTTCCTCTGCATCTACCCTGTTGGCTTGTCTCTACCATACGTCCAACAAGGAGTTTTTGTATTTACTTTGATCGGTTGCCCTGGTTCTGAAGCAAGATTTATTGGCCCAGAATTGCCCCTCACTCCTTTCTTCAGGGCAAAAACACCAGTAATCCTAAGTGTCAGTATAGGAGCTCGTTTTAGCGCGAGCTTTTCTTACCAACTCAGCTTAGACCTTTCCTTCTGTCCGAATTATTCATGCTACAGCAGTGCCTCGAACCACTCAGCCAAACTGGAGTCCCTGAAAGGCGCTTCACCTCTGCACAGCAAGCGTTTGTCTGCACGGCAAAAGTTGTTCTGCGGTAAGGTGGACGGAAAGCATAGCACGGCAACTTCCAGGACCGATGCGTCCACAAGGAGCATTATTTCAGAAGAGCCCCAGCAGCACAGTTATTCTAGGCTGGCCGGACCAGGCAGTTGCATGTGTCACTAAGTCTTAAAAAAAGGCAATCTGTGCTCCAAAGGGTTTGCCATGTAAAAAGAGAAGGTAGAGAAAAGGTAGAAGCACAGCTGTTCCCATTTCACAGACTGGTAGCTGAGGCACGAGACTTCACTCCCTGCCCCTACCCCAGACAGGGAACCAGAGCTAAGACTTGAACCCAGAGTTTGAGTCCTAGCTGAGCGCCTTCCTCTGCCTGACCTCGGGGGTTGTTGCTCTCGAGCCGATGGTTTTGGTACATCGTGTTTGGACGCCTCTGGTTTCTTGCAGACGCGGAGTCGGAGGAATCCCTGGGCCCAGGATCTGCCGCGTCTCTTTTGTAACAAGCAAACGACAGAAAACCAAGGGCTTCGTTTAACGGCCCAACATGGCTTTGCAATACTGAAGCAAGGAGGAAGGGGCTCTCTGTTTTCGTTGGCTGCACCTGTGGATGTTATTGCTCAACGTGTGAGATACTGGAGTCAAAACAAAGATAAAGCCAGAGAGCATTACCTCACCAAGAGCTGAGCCACTAGCGTAGGGTATTTTTAGTGATGAAAACAGGAAAGGCTTGCGGTGGTCAGAAACACTTTTTTTTGTTCCTGTTGCCATTTTTATCACTTGCTTTTTAGCTTTTTGAATCCCAAAGTACACATTTGTACTACTTTCTCTCTGTTACTTTTCCTAGTCAGATCAGATTGAGCGTCTCCAGCCTCCCCTGGCCCGCACGAAAGCATCCTGCTCCTGGATCTGAAGCTGAAAGAGACCCCTCGGATCACGTAATCCAAGAGTCTGCCTAAGAAAAGCCACAGACCGCACCAGCAATCCTTGTATCAACCCCTGCAGTTGGTGCCAGGACCAGATCGTGTCTCTTAGAAGGATGCCAGCATAAAGACCTCTGCAGTCTTGCGGTGCCTAATTACCCTCGCTTTGGGCTGCCTTTAAGGGTTGAAAAAGTAGACTGCTGCCTACCCCAGAGAGATGCAAGAAGCCACAAAAGATGGAGTGTGGGAGAGTAACTTGACAAATATGCAACCCTTTGGATGTCAGCAATAGCCGTTTTCTGTTCAAATTGGCAAACCAGCGGGCCTTGCTGTCAGAAGAGAGCAGGTGACAGGCAGCCCTTTCTGTTTTGGAGGAGTCGGTTTGTACTTGGTTGTGCAGACATGCCTGCAATTGCTTGTATGCGTGTGTATACGTGTACGTGTGTGTAAATGTAACTGGACAGTAGTGGCCTCCAACGAGTGAGTGAATCAACCGTCCGGATTGAACGTCTTTGCCGCAAACAGAGTCGTCTCTCCCAGAGCTGAGTATCGCTAAAGAGGCAAAATCGTCTAAAGCCCTTCTTAGATTTTGGGAATCGGCCGTCGTATTTCTAATGGATGGATAAGACTCTTCTAGTCACGAACCTCCTTCCACCCAAAATACTATACAGGTACTCTGCTTAGCATCGCTCCGGTTAACGTTGTTTCGTTATTACGTCGCTGGTCTATTGGAGAACATACTCGTTTAAAGTCGCGCAATGCCCGGTGATGCTGTTGTTTGGCCGCCGCCTGCTAGTAGGTAACTGCTGTGATGGGACTGGATTTGCTTAACATCAAAGTCGCGTTTTTCAAGGACGTAACTACGACGTTAAGCGAGGAGTAGCTGTAATCCTACTTGTGAAGACGGACTTCTTCACAAGGAGGGTTTTCTTCAGCTGGAAAGGGAGTGACATGAAGAAAACGTCGCCAGTTCGACTGCTTCGTTGGTGGATACGTCCAAGTCTCTGCCCAACAAAAACTTGATGCCGTCACGCAGTTGTTCAGGGAATACAGAGAGCCTACAGAAGGACTGATGTCCTGCAAGATTGTCACATGTCTCACGATCAGTGACAGGTTGTGAATGCTGGGCCAGCCCGTTGTAAGGATTTGCCTCTAAATAAGAATGAAAGAAAATGTCAGCTTTCAGTCTTTGTGACAGATTTCAAGTCGAGATTGTGCAAAGTGAGACGGGTTTCTCCATGCCACTTCCACTGATGTTGTTTGCTTCTGTTGCAAGTTGACTCCAGAGATTTTGCTCTATAGAGGAAAAAAAAAAGCTAGTACCAAATGAAGTCTATGCCACAGCACTGGCGAGCTGCTTTGGAAAGGCTTTTTCATTTGACTAGGTTACACAGAATGGAAAAAGACTTTTTCTCTGCACAGTTCAACACACAAACTCTATTGTTGCCACAGTGGGAAACGTTTGGAGTCCATGGAGATCCTGGGGAAATCCAGCCCGGTGATGGAAGCACCGCTCAGATGAATTCTCTCTAGGAAAATTCATGGTTGGGCAAAAATGTTCAAAAATGTAGTTATTTTAGAACATGATCCAGAAGTAAATCGCTCCCTTGAAATCCATGGGGTGTTGTACGTGACTGCAGCTAGACACTGGCAACCCCCAAACCGGTGACGAAAGTCTGATACCAGTTGTAGAGAAGCAGCGAGCGATGCTTGAGAAGGCAGCAGTCAAGGAACATGTTGCTGGATTTGGGAATACGATATCCAAATGGTGCTAGAGAGACAAGAGCTGCCAGAGAACAGGCAAAATGGCATTTCATTGATGTGAAGGCCAAGCTGAGGACAATGGGACAAGTGTGAAAGGTAAGTACAGAGCAGTTGAGAAGAGACTTGAGGACCTTAACAAGCGGTGTGATTTGCCCCATGCAGGGCACGTCGTTTGAAGCTCAGACTCGGTAATGCCATGACTCGTTTTGCCAAACCACGCTGAGAAATACCACAGGTTTCAAGTGTTTCCTCATCACAGCGCTGGGACATAATGCATCAGCACATGAGCTCCCAAAATTCTGAAAGGAAATGAGATGGGAAAGCCAAATTGTTTCAGCCTGCCTATTTCAGTACTGCATTTCCAAAATTGGCTGCGCTTTTCGTTTCAATTGTCAAGGATTCGTATATACAAAGGGGAGCAAACTGCAAGTAATGCAAAGTGCTGGGTCCGAACATTTGCAGTGCTCAGTTCCCAGGAGCGTGGTACTTTGGCAGGAGTGATACTTAATTGAAGTCACTGGGGCAAGTAAAATGCTTCAGAAAGTTGAAATGGCCATCGGACAGCAACGCAGCTAGTAAAAGCCTCGGAGAATTGCTTTGCAAACTGTTCTTCCGGTAAGGGATTCACATGAGTCCCGCTGGAAGCTCAGGAACTGGCTGAGGAGCTAGAAATCAAAGCTTGCAAGAAACTGCCGTAGAGTGCAAACCAAAAAAATAATCAAAGTGAAATTCAGCTAATCCAGAAAATCATTTTTTCTCTTATGTTTTGAAACCTGCCATCCAGCCACTTGACACAAGGCTTTCCAAAGCAAAACCTGAGTTTGGTTGTACCATTGTATGCGAAACGTCAAAGATGTCCTGCACAGCAGTGCCTTATTCTGGGGAAAGCATCAGGAGCTGGACAGCCTAGCGAAGAGATATCCCTGGACATAAATGCCCTGGATCTTGTGTAGGGAACGTCAAGCTCCTTGCCAAGCAGCTGAAACTTGGAGCATACCCAAAAAACACAGTTGGAGATTTCTGCGTGAGAAAATAAGCTTTTGTCCTTGTTTCTAAATGTATCCATCATACTCCGGAGCCTATTAACCTTGCCTGCATCTGCTGCGAGTGGAGAATGCAGTCTTTCAAAACTTGTCCGGCGTGGCTCAGTCTTAGCTGTTGTTTCTTGCTTGGCTTCTTTAATTGGAAAGTCAAATTGCAGAGTATTGATCTGAACAGCGCGGTCTGTTAGTTGGTACATTAAAGCAGGAAAGGCAGGCGCTAGCTACTAGTGTGTGGGGAAGAGGTTCGTTGGGGATGTTTGATTTTGTCTTGAGCTCCTGCGGGACAGCTCATCTTCTGGCCCAGGCCCCTGACCTTCCCCACTCCTGTTTGTCACAGTAGGTGCTGGCCTGGTGCTTGTTTCCTGTCCCCACCCTGATCCCTGCCCCTCACCCCGTTTTGGGGGCCGCACCGCTCCCACCCCTGCTCCTTTGACCCAGGGGTGGTCAGGGTGCTCTCTGGGACAGGCTGGGCAAGTGCTTTGACCACTAGCCATTGTGAGCCCAAAGAGGCTGGAGCCTGTGGGAATGGGCTGATGTTGGTCTTTAAATGCAGGAGAGAGTCTAGGACTATGAATCCTGTCTAGCAGTAAGCTCCTCACTCGGTGTCAGGTACCTGCGACCGAGAGAAGGGCACGCAGCCCTTTGGGTGGGGGGTTTAAACCAGGCAGGGGGACTTCTTTCCTGCCGTCCCATTACTGTTGTGACTCAGAGAACGTGATCGGTCAGTTGTGCTTGATGATGTAAGTATAAAATGAAGTGAATGTGAGGGGGAAAAAAAATCAAACATCCCCAACCAACCTCTTCCCCACACGCTAGTAGCTAGCGCCTGCCTTTCCTGCTTTAATGTACCAACTAATGGACCGCAGTATTGCAGATCAATACTCTCTGCAATTTGGCTTTCCAATTAAAAGTCAAACAAGAAACAACAGCTAAGACCGAGCCATGCCAGACAAGTTTTGAAAGACTGCATACTCCGGAGTATGATGGATGCATAAGAGAGGAACCAAGAGCAAAGCAACAGGAGCGACCGAGCAGCCTAAGTATCCCAGTGGCTGGCCAAACTCGTGGTTACCCCAGGCACAGGTGCAAAGGCTAACTTAGTCCTTCCTTGGCCCAGGTGCAGACGCTCGCCCTCAGCTCGCTGTATACTTGTCCTGAGCTCCAGCCAGCAGCCAACCCTTCCTGCTACCGAGGCTACCCTCTGCAGCCCTAGGAGCGGACTAAAACTCAACTTCAGCCCCTCCAGGTGAAGCAGTGGAGCTTGGAAACCCAGGCCAGTCCCTGAACGGGACAGTCAGGGCCTTGCACTGCACGCTCTGGGACATGGAGCCTCACGCTGGAACTGGGACGAGCTCTCGGGCTAGGCCCAAGATGCAGAAAAAACACCTCTGTGGATGGCCATAGGGAAAGGCTGGATTAGGGCAGACTGGACTAGCCATGTTGGACTGCAGTGGGGTGCTCTGGCCCTGTGGGGTAGGACCCAGGGCTACGTGGGCAGAAGGCCAGGAACAGAAGGTGCACAAGCAAGGGAGAGGTAGTAGCCCCTTGGCCAGGGCATAGGAGGGTGTCTCAGACCTGGGGCCTGAAGCTGTGACGTGTAATGGAAACTTGCACATCCGCTGGATAAAAACCACGCTGTAACCCTGAGCAGAGGGCCCAGCACTGGTGGCCACGCCATCCCGCAGCCAGGCCACAGCAGTAGGGCCCTTGCAGTCCCGGCTGCAGCAGCCCAGCTCCACACGAGTCCTGGGGCCAAAGGAAGTGTGGCCAAGTGGGAGCGAGCTCTGGAGCAAGGACAGCCTGCGGGCAGGGGGACGGGACAGAGCCGGGGTCTCCAGGGACTTTCCTGCCATATGCATTTTACGTGAGATAATCCTTGGATGACAGATGAGCTGGAGGAGGGAGCCGGCTCATGGATGGTCTCCCCAGCCTGGGACGGGCCCATTTCAAACGCTGCTTTGGTGTCCTGTGACTTGTGAACAGGAGGAGACAAACCCACAGGCACAGAAAATATCGGCGACCTGCCAGCCTCTGTCTTGGTACAGGGATTCCTCTCTCGGGTTCGAGACCCTGCTTGAGCTCACAGCCCAGTTTTCACTTCTGTCTGGGCATAAAGGTATGGGGCTTGCTTTAATATTCCCAGGGCACATATTAGTGTGCACTGATGTCGCAGCGTGCCGGCCTTGTAAGCCCTTGCGAGGGTGCGTGAGATCCATGGTCCCCCACCCACAGCCTCCGAGAAGCCCCGACCTCCTCAAACAAGTCGACAGCCGTGGCAGAAGTCTGCCGCAGAGCGCCCTTCCTTGCGCTGCTTCCCCGAGACGCGCCTGCTCCTGGCTGCGGAGGGATGGAAATCAACTGGGGCGCAGGGCAGGGTGTGTGCTGCACATCCCTCCAGGGCTGCAAAACCTGGCTGGATCAGGACGCTCTGCTCGCTCGGGCAGGCGTGTTGGGAACATACCGCACTTGATGCTGGACTGTCAATCCCCCCAATAGAAATGCACCCTGGAACTACAAGGTGTCTCATCAGTAGAAGAAACCACCCAAAAAAAAAGGAAAAAAAAGTGCTGCGTAGCGAACCGCATTTGCAACGCGCTGCTGGAAGCAGCTACAAGATGACAGCCCATCCCCGAAGTCCTGGAAGCCGTCTGAGTGTGAATAAGACTCGTGCAACTGAGCTGGTTGAGGATCTGCTCCCTCCCCCCCGTAAGCAACACACATCAGTATTTCTCACACTTCTCCATCCTAATACAAGCAAATGCTCCGCCAGTGCATCACTGAGCTTGCACAGATGCCCTCCCTTCTGGCAGCAATGATGGAGCCCACCTGTTCTCAGTAACAGCCTGTAGCAATCGCAGCGCTGCGGGAGTTTGCTCACAGTTAAATATTTGCATCTTGGGCCTTTTATCTTACGGCCGACTTCAGCCCCTGGCTCTTGTCGCTCCTTTGTGTGCTGTAGGAAAGGGCACCTAGTCGGGTGTCTGCGCCCTGTGCAAGTAGTCACAGACCGAGGCACTTCGCATAGGCAGGGAATGCAGCCACAGCAGACTAAAGACTACCCTGGCCCTCCACGCTCAGACAGTCATGCCAGCAGCATAAGTCACAAGGCTCCAGTCCTGTCTCTGCAAGTCCTTGCTCCGTGGTAAGGAAAGGCAATCTGGATTCATGGCAAACCTGCCTGAGCGATGAGCTGGCAGCAGTTAGCAGGGCTGGGCTCCCTGCCTGGCCACCATGTGCGCCAGCACCTTGTGTGGAAAGGACACTGGAGCCCTCTTCGAGGATCCTGGCCTAAGTAATTAAGTAATCTGCACTCTGGGAAAGCTCCATCGTTCAGTGCCCCACTTAAAGCACCCCATGTCCTGAGGCATGCTTGGCCCTTCCTGAAAAAAAACAAGCCTTTTTAGAAGGTTTCATGCCAAATCCAGTGGTTGCTCCCATTTGAAAATGTTGGCAAGCGGGGCTGGGCTGCACGTGGCGTGCTGTCAGGGCGAGTCACAGACTGCAGGACTTCACCCCCCACCACCTGCTCCAAGGGGCAGGGCAAAAGATGGCACCTTGTTTCTCCAATTTAAACCGAGCAGCTTTCACATAGAACAGGCTTCTCCCCTTAGGGACCGCATAAGAGCTAACAAGCCTGGGGTAGTAGTCATGTGTCTTTGAGCACACCGGGAAAGCTCTCAGCTCGTGCCAATCATTGCATAAGCCAGGAGCAAACAGGCCACAACTAGACTAGCCTGCCCATGGGAACAAAGCTTGCATGGGGAGATGCCTACTGAAAGAGCAGCAAGAACGCATTTCCAGCCCAAGCCCCCATCAGCACGTGCTTCGAGTGCGCTGGTGCCATGTCTGTGCTGGCGGGGCACTTTCCAGCCGGCTCCGTGATGGTCCCAGCTGCTGTCACTACCCCAGTTCCTTTACTAGTATTTGAACGTTGTGCGTCCAAGCAAACGGACCTTGTACACGAGCCACGTGATCTGAATGATGCCAGGGTCAGGAAATGCTCACATTTGGCAGCCAGAGCTGCAGGTCTTTTCAATGGCAGTCTTTGGCTGGCTGCAGGAACTGTTGATGGAGGAAATATGGCTATTAAGGAGAACTTAACTTTATTAGTTGAGGCACGTCTTCAGTTTGCCCCCAGAAAGAAGTCCCAGTCATGCAAGTAACTGTCTAGCCCACTGGAGCAGAGCAGACAGCATTCAAATACACAGGCAAGGTTTGGGTTATCACAGGAGTTTACTACTGATAGTTGGAAAAAAAAAAAGCCATTTATGAACAGACAGACGTTTAGGCCTGGGGCTTCGAGCACAATGAGTGATTTTGGGGGTGCTTCTATTTTGGGATGCCCTGTTTGACCTGGTTTTCAAATGGCACTGTCTGAAAAATGAGGTCCTGCTTCTTTAAGTTGACAACCCCAAGTCCCTGTTGGAAAAACTTTGGTTAATGTTGCTTTCCTCAGAGAAGTCCCATGCTGCCTCCATTGCTGCTGCCCACGTTTTCCCCGTTTGAAGCGTAGACCAAAATAAATTCCAGGTGAGGTCGCTGTCACGGAGGCCGATTAGTTTGCTTTTGTTAAAAGCAGCTATGCCACGTGTCCTGAATATTCAAAATAAAAGATGGGAGATAGCATTGCAGGGTGTGCAGTGCAGCTCACAGCAGTGAATCACAGCCAAGATTATGGCCATAAATTTGCGTCTGAATGTTTGTCATTGTGTCCCTTGGCATGTGAGCTATGGAGGCTGCAGACGGCCCTCGCAATGAGACTGCCCATTTTTCAAACCTGCTCAACCCCTCCTCCTTGCCCGCAAGGACGGTCCCTCTGACGGCAGGACATCGCCATACGAAGGCTGCAAGGAGGGGGATGCGGGTCTCCAGCATTGCTGGTTGTAGAGGCAGGTGCTGATACTGTTATTGGCCTGCAGTGGAGAGGAGAGCAGTGGATTGCACCTGCTTGTGCCACCTCCTTGACTGTCTCTCCTGTACTGCAATAGCAGGAGGATCCATGAAAGTTGAGGCCTTCAGCAGCACAGGGAACAACAGCCAACCCACATCTCTGGGAGGGAAAAAAAAAAAAGAAATGTTATTTCTCTTAATCTGCTCCTTGAGCTCAGCTTTGTGTTTTTTTAAAGTGAAAATTAAGGGGTTTCTCCATTGTGTTGTCTACAAAACAAGTCCAATACACTCAGTCAATTTTTTGCCTGCAGCATTACATGCTTCAAGCACGAATTGTGCCTGCCTGCCAGGATCCCGAGGAGCTGTGCAAATGTTAAAGGGTTAATCCTTGTAATTAGGCAAGAATTATTTGTGCTCCCTTTCCTACAGGAAGGGAAACACTGAACCACAGCGTTGAGTAGCCAAGGACCTGCACTAAGGTTTGGGCCACAGGTAACAGCGCTGCGTATCAGTTTTGTCTCTGCATACAGCAGTTTCCCCGTCTGTAAAATGAAGATTATGTTGTTGAGGTCCTTTATGAAAGGATAAAAGATGCCGCTTAAGAGGTAGGCATTATTAGGAGGAGTTTCAAAAGCCCCAAGAGCACTTAACTCTCGTCAAGGAGCATTAGTTGCCTAAGTGCTTTTGGAAATGCCCCAGCAGCCTACCCGCACCACTGGGCGTGAGCAGGACTGGGACCATCTGACCATGACAGCCGTCTGCTCCAGAAAACCCTCTCTGGGCACTGGGGCACATACATGGTATTTGGCAGGATCGAGCCTTTGGCGTACTGACCCCGAGTCCTCCCTGGTGTAGCTTCCTTGCAGCCCATGATGCTATCCTACGGCCGCAGGCTGCCAAGGCAGGGGGTGTGAACTGCATGGCAGCAGGTATTCACCATGGGTAGGCCTTGCTCTGCCCAGGAAAACAGGGCAATGTAAATCCAGCAACCCTGACCCATGGGCTGCCAGCCAGAGCCTCCCTACTCACTTCCCCAGCAGCGCGCCCCCAGCCATGAACACTTCCTCCCTGCCCTGTGTCCCGCCAAGCAGACGGTGCTGGCCAGGCAATCAGCCCCTTTCCTGCTGGCCCTGACTGCGCCGGATGAAGCCCGAACAGCTTTTTGTAGAACGGGGCTGCCTGGCCCTTGCCGTCTTGGCCATGAAAGGGGCAGAAACTTTCTGAAACAATGATTGAGTTACTCAGCCAAGCTTTCAATTCAGATCTGCTGTGGATGCATTCACTGGCTTGAGTCCTGTGGCTAATGTAGGGCCTTGACTGCTGCAGTGCCTCAGTTACCCTGGGTTAAGAGCTACGTTGGTTTTGCTGGGCCGGGGAATGCAGGCCACGCAACTTCTCGTTTCCCCGCATCGCTGGAATAACAGCGAGCAGCACGAGGGCTCGGGACTTGTTCGCCCTTCAACCAAAAAACCAGCCCACCACATCTCCCAGCTCTGACAGACGCGGTTTCTTCGGCACACATCTTGGATGAACCCAAATCTATCCGACTGCCTCTTCAGGGAGGACCAGCTCTCGTGAGGCACTGAGCACGCCACAAACCACTCCTGGTCCTTGGTGTCCTTCTCTTTTAATCACCGCCAAAAGACGCGCACGGTTCTTATTACGGTAAGGGGCGCGCAGCCCCCACCCCCGTGGTTTCCCTTGGACAAAACTGAAACAATCGGGAGATCCCAGTTCTCAAGTAGTAACAGTCCGTAAGTACGTGGAAGTGCACACACTGGAGTCCAGGTTTGCTTCCCGTTTGTCACGGAGCAGCAGCTTTGTGTTGCAAGCATGACACTGTCTTTGCTGCCAAGATAAATAGCGGTGCATATTGTAACTGGCTATGGTGACGCGAATACTGAAATGCATGCATGCCTGTAGGCTGAGGGCCAAAATGCATCCAGCATGTTGGTGTGCGGGAAGCCTGTTGGCATGTGCCGAGGTACTGGTATCCCATTTTGCTTTCCGTTTTATCGTGCAGTTATCACAACATTTCCCATGCATGCTGGAATGAAGTAAGAGAGTGCGGTCCGGCAGCGCGGCAAATGCAAGGCAAAGGCCGCTGTTGCTGCACGCTGTACGCTACGTCCTTGGACGTCGTGGGGCAGGACACCAGCAGCAGAGGATGAGGATGGTGCTGCGAGCCACTAAACAGCGCTCTGAATCCTGAACCAGAATGGCTCCATGCAAACGCATCCTTCCCCATGTCTCTGCTACTCTGCATTTGCTCCTCTCCAGCTTGTCTGTGCAGCTTCTTAAACCCTACCCCCCACTATGTACAAGCGGATCCTGGTGTGTGGGTGTGCTTAGGAGGAACGTTTGGCCTGCCCCCGGCTACCATCAGAGATGAAGACAAGTGGGTCGGACATAGAGGCCTGGGCCTTGGCTCTGCTTGGTCCCTTCCCAGTGGCTGGTATAGTTTAAAAGTACCTTGGAAGGTGGTTTAACCAGACAGGGGGAACTAACTCGGGCGTTTGGGCACCTTTGGGCTGGCAGAGTGGCCTCATGGCCCTCGCCACCCCCAGCACCAGGCGGCATGTAAGGGAGAGGTACAGCAGGGTGTTGCACCCTCCAACTCTGATGCACGAGTCAAGTGGCCCCTTTCACGAGCTGCTCAGGCCCCTCTAACCATTCCAGGGGCTGCACGTGGACTGGGAGAGGTGGCTCGGAGGCCGTGCTGCTTCTCCCACGTGCTTCGGCAGCAGCATCTGAACTGGAGCGAGGGTCTCAGCCAGGACGCAGCCTTGTGTTCCTGGGGGGACTCGGCGCTACACCACGGATAATACTCAAGAGGCTGCACGGTCTAGTGATTCAACAGCAGATCCAGGTCCTAGTCTAAGCTCTGCCCCCGAGTCACTGGGGGACAGCTGGTAAATCACTTCACCCCTCTGAACTTTGGCTCCCCAGCTGTATAAAATCTGAAGATGGAGACGAAATGGCAATGGCAAGGCTTGCCTAACACATGGGAGCTCTCCAGTGCATTTGATCTGGGTTTCTAAAGAGCCCAGTAATAAATGGCTGCAGGGTGCTGCAGGAGTGCCAGCAATCAAGCTCCTCAGGGAAGTTTGGCCAAAACAAAACTTGCAGAGGGAGGACAGGGAGGGGCTGCAAACCGGCTTGTGAAAACGCTCCCTGCTACCCTCCCTGCTCTACCAAGCGGAAGGTTTCAGCGTCACTGCTTTGCTATCAAGCCCCTAATGTGTTCCTGCAAGTTTTTGCTGCTTGACCAAATGTCTTTCTCTGCTGCAGGAGGGAAAGCTAACCGAGAAGCAAAGTAGCACAAATTAAGAAGGAGAGCCTGCTCCTGGCACCCTGCTGACACCACTGATATGACCATTAAAGACGTCCATGACAGACACCGAGCAAACCGTAAAAAACACTTTGTTTTGTGTTTTGTCGGTAATGAGAAAAATCAAAACAGAAAAGGGCACAACCGGGAAGGGGGTTTGGAGGTTTCTTAGGGGGTGACGTGCTGCAGAAGTAGGGCAGAAGCTTTCTACTATTAAATAGAGTCTGCCATTAAAGAAAATAAAAAGTGCACATTTGTCATCAGGTACCAGGGTTACGTCCTGTTCTAACTACAATGCAAAAGCTGTGGCTTTGCATGTGCCATTGTGCTGTTACAATGGTGTTGGCAAACAGAAGCAATTAAGCTGATAAACTAGCTGACGTGTTCAGACGGGGCCATATTTTGTGCAAGAATCTGTTACCACCGTAAACCGATACTGCTCAGGCTGCAGGCTCAGCTGGTATGAGAAGGATTAGAGAAATACCGTTTTAAGGGAAGAGTAAAATGTATTTCAAATGGCTCCGCAGCGGAGCACAGTTCAGTGTTGGGAATGCGAAGCCCACAACAAGAAAACAGCAAAACTTAGCAGTTTGAGCTCGCTGCAATTGCAGATCTGGTAATAATGAGAGAAATGTCCTAAATCATTACAATCCAGGGGACCGCAAGCCAGAAAACCAACGGAGAAATGTTTTTATTTGTTTCACAGCTCCCAAATTCTGCTGGAGAATTTTCCATTCTTCCAGATGTTTTCTGGCAGACAGAAAGACTTTTGATTTCAAACGCTGAGCTGTCTGTGGACCCATCGGACCACGCTCTGACATTCAGGAGAAGGGAGGTAACAACTGACAGCGCTTCCTATCAGCAGCGTTTGCTGCAGTGTGACCTGCCACGGGCTGTCTATTAATGCCCTGTTTGCTGTACTTACCATCGTTACGGTTTTGTCTTTGCTTTGCAGGCGTTTTATTTTTATCGTGGTAGGGAGAGGACTGTGTGTGCCTCTGTGAGACGGAGCGCGCAAAGGGCTGGTCGCTTCACCTCTGTGCAAATAGCATCTTGGCACACACCCTGGAGTCGATTAAATTAGGGGGCGAAAAGCTGAATATTGAAGCATTTTTTTAACTTTGCATTCTTTAAATAAGCAACTACAAAACAAGGAAGCAGTCTGACAAAATTAGCAGGTCTGAAGTGCTAAAGGAATTCTCTAAGGGTCACTTGTTTATTGAAGGGGGGTTGAAAAGGACTTTTTTATTATTTTTATTGGTAGCTGTATATGTCAACATGCTATTTCCTCCATGCATTTTTGAGTCTAGATTAGCTGAAGTTTTAGGTGTTGGCAGACGTGCTACAATGGAAGGGAAATGCCAATGGAATAACTTTAAACATGATCCCATCCCTGATGATTCATTGGATGTGTTAAAGTTTCCTTTGAGACCATGTAAGCAATGCAGCGACTGGAGTGCAGAACGCCTGTGACTCAGCTCGGTGCAAGGCAAAGGGAGGATGTCAGAATTACTCACTGGGATAGGAGGAATCTCATTTATCTATTTATAGGCAAGGCAACTGCAAAGCTGAGCTGATCTTGTACCATTAAGGAGCTGAGTTTGCCAGGTCCCAGCAGTTCCTATTTTAGCGGTTGAACTGAAAGGCCCAATACAGGGCACTCTTTATTTCCATTTTCAAATATTAGGAGCCCAGACCCACATTCATAGCTTCTAGCCTTTAGACGGGACAGTTGAGCCATTGAGCCTCGTCCCGCAAGCAGCAGGGGGGCTCTGAACGCCCTCATCTGAAAGTCTGAGATGCTCTGGGTAGGCAGCACTCTTCAGGAGGTCCTCACAAGGCCCTTAATGCTCACCCGAACGCCTGAGACTAGAGCCCAAGAGATCTGCACACCACTGATTTTCTGTAAGCACTTTCCTTCCCGAGCCGCTGTGTCGCGGCGGTCAAGTTGACCCATGCCGTTACGTAACACTCATTGCAAAGGCCTTCCCACCGTCTGAGCCGGTTCTGGCGCGGCCCAAGCACAGACCTCTCCCACTTGAGATGAAGCCCCGATGCCTGGCGCAGGAAGCAGGGGCCTGTTCTCATCCTCTTTGCCGACGGGCTGGAAGAGACACTGTACATGTAACCAACCTGCGGAGGGTTTATGGTGGGATCCTCTCTCCCAGGAGAGAGTCTTCCCTTACGCTCCAGGGCAAAGGACAGGTAAGAGCGGGATGGGGTACAGACTAGGAGGCATATCAGGGAGAGGCGCGGCACCCTCCAGCTCTGATGAACTAGCCCGATGGCATCTCCTGCTGCCTGGCACCCCAAGCAGCAGAGGCCTGGCTGACCTTGCCAAAACGAGGGGCTCTCTCTCGAGCAGATGAGCATGGCTTCTTTCCAGCATTGGGCTAGAAGTGTCTGCGGCCTTCGGACTCAACCTCACTGCCAAAGGGGTGAAGAGTGGCACAAAGAAAGGGAAATGAGAGTTCAGCTGTTCATTGAGATGAGGCCCCATTTGAAGTCCGGTTTAGAAAGGCCGTCTAACCAAATGCAGTTGGAGCATGTCAACGGCCAGCTTGGAGCAGGACTCGGAGTGAGAGACCTGTTGAACTGCCAGGAGCAATACCCCCATCCCATTGCCACCTGCCATCCTGCATTTTCACCTCCCCCAAAGTGACTGGCATGGCTGATGCCCAACCAGCAATGAGGGGCTACAGGAATACTGGGCAGTGAAGGCTGGAGGGGGCCCCCTGGGTCACCCCTGCAGGCACCCCCGTCCTATGTTCCCTTTCATAAACTGATCACGTTGCATCTGAAAAAAACAGCTTCTTGCCCTCATTAGAAACCGTCTAATCTCCAGCCTAAATTTGTTCCTAGCCAGTCTATAGCCAGCATGGTGCAGGGACTGCCATGGAGCTTAAACATCCTCCCTCTGGGGTGTTTCCCTCCCTGATGTATGTAGGGAGCAGTCTTCCCTCTTCCAGCCTTCACTGTGGAAAGCTAAGCGAGCCAAGCTCTTTATCTTCTCCGTTCCCCTCCTGGCCCTGCTCTGCACCTGTTCTGGTTTGAATTCATCTTTCTTGAGCACGGGTGACATGATATCTCCTGGGACCGCGTTCGCCTCTGACCGCCACATCGGGCTGGTGGTTCATAGTCCTGTCCTGATCAACACATGCACCCCTGTCTTTTTTCTCCTCTTTCGTTTCCAACTGACGAGCTCCCAGGTTGAAGCAGAAATTCTTGTCCTTAATCCCCGAGTGCGTGCCCTTGCAGACTGCGCTATTGAATTTCGTTCTATTTCTATCGCTTCAGTCCTCGGCATCATCTGCTTGTTGCTCGGCGATATGCTGAACCTTTACCGACCAAGTTTTCTGCCTTCTTGCTGACAGCAAATTTCATTAGCCTAATTATGCTGTGAGTGTCACTAATGGAAAGATGAGATAAGACCAGTCCCGAAACTGGTCCTGGAGGAACTCTGCCTGTGACCTCCCTCCAGTTTGAGAGTCCCCCTTTCAACATGACCGACTGTCACCTCTCCTTTTGCTTTTCCCTGATCCACCTGATGCTCCTGTGCTAATCTCCACCTTGTGCTGACCTCCTAGTTTCCCATGTGGGACCATATCAAATGCTTTCTTGGAGTCTGGAAAACTTGGACCTAATGCATTCTCCTGGGCTAGAAAATCAGAGAGAGATCTCACATTAGTCTGGCACAGCCCACATTGCATCTCATCCCATTTACACATTTACTTCCAGGTGTTTAATTATTCTTTCCTTCAAAATCTGTTCTAAACTCTTGCATATTATTTAGGTCAGACTACCAGGGCTGTAGCTGGCCAAATTACCGTCTCCCCCCCCAACTTCTTAAATACAGGTACTACCTTTAATATTTTCCAAGCATCTGGTGCCATGATGACCTGATGGAGTTGTCAAAAATCCTTGCTACGGGACCTGTGATTTTGTGTGCCAGTCCTTTCCAAGTCACTGGGGAAGAGGGGGCAATATCCAGTTGCCGTGCCTTGAGTGCTTTGAGCTCTTGAATTCTGGTTTCCATCCCAGATGTGGGACTTTCCACTTCCCTACTCACTGGCCGTCCTGCCTTTGTCCCCCTGCTCGACGTTATCGTCCTTACTGACAACATAAGCAACGCTTTAGCTGTCCCCACTTTTTTTTCCCCTTGGGGTCTTTTTCTTTCTCTGGCTGAAGAACCTTTTGCTCTTTGTTTTAATTTCCTTAGCAAGGTCTAACTCAGCATGACTTTTGGCGATATTCACTTTAGCCCAATACTTCCTGACTGCTAAGATCCAGCTTCCCTGATCAGCTTTCCAATGACTCCTTTCCCCCTGCTCCTTGCAGGCTCCCTGCTTACCCTTAATATCTGTTTTGAGAAGTTTGTTCATTGTTCATGCAAATAGGTCTGGAGCTTTACCCTACAAGGTTTTCTTCCCTCTGCTTGGGATACAAATTCTAGACAGTTTCTGCACCTTTGACTTAAGAAGTATTTCCAGACCTCTTCCCACGTTCGAGTCCTTGAGCTCTTCAGCCCAGTTAACTTCACTTGCTAGGTCTCTGAGTTGCTCTAAGTTGACCTTTTTGAAATCAAATGCATTTGAGGATGTGGTTGTACACATACCTAAGACTGGTTCAGCACATCAGGCACATCCATTACACATTTCTGTTCCTTAATTGGGATCCTTGGAGGCTAATAAGTTTAACACACAAACCAGTAAGAAAGAGAAGATAAAGGAACCCAAATTGCCTCTCTTTCTACATCAACACCTGTTGTTATCACTAATCCTTCCCCCCACCCCGCATTATCCTGCCCTAACTAGTCACAGATCCCTGGTGATCACATACCGTCCCACACTGGAGCTCACATCTCCAAGGACATTTGCCTAGTGCTGCCTGTCCCCCTGCCTTTCCAACCACCCCCAACCTTGCCAAACTCACCATCATGATCAGACTCTTACCAGCAAATGCCTAATCCCACATGTGCCTATTGCAACATGTGATAGCTCTCATCCAGCACGCCACCGTCCCATGCAGAAGCTATATGGGGGAAATCAAGTCTCCAAGACAAGCTTCCACAGAAACACAGTAGTGGCTAAAGCACCATCTCACAAGCGGGAGACCACGCTAACAAAACAACCGCTCCATCTCCGACCTTGCAGTTGGTGTCCTTAAACAAAACCTACGCGAGCCCTCTAGGAAGGCAGGCCTGGGAACAGAAAGTCCTAGCTTTACTGGACAGCAGGAACTAGGGACTTGGTTTTGTGGCTAAATAAGACTTCCTTCTCACTTCTCCCTCTGCTAACTTCTCTTTGCCCAGCAGGCGATAATGACCCACTTCTCCCTCTCAAGTGGTCATAATTAAATTGAGCTAAAATGATTTTCTCTACTTACCCTGGACTGCGACTACTACTTGTCCAGACCTGATGAAGGGTGCTTGATGCCTAAATGCTTGTCTAACACCTCTCCCCACTCTCCAAGCTGGTCCAACAAAGATACTGCACCTCACCGCACATCTTATTTTTCCTCCGATCAGGGTAATTCAGCGCCTTGCTGCCATTCGTGAGGCTGAGAAGGGCTTTTTCCGTCACTTTGCAGGCAGCTGTAAGACTAACGGGGCTAGGTTTTTGCAGGTGTTAAGTGTACAAATGTGCAGTTGGGCACGACACTGGATTTTCAAAAAGTCTGTAGTTTACTCATGGACCAGGGGCTCGATACACCAGTTCTCAGCTGCCAGCTCAGACCCAAGCCACCCGAACAACCTTGGGGAAGTTGTTCAAGGGCAGATGAAGTACTTGGGTGTGTAAAGGTGCTGCTGGTTGTGCCATGAAATAAACGGGAGCAAGATGCTGTTGAGAATCCTACTAGGCTCCTAAATACCTTTGACAGGGCTCAGCCCTGTGTATCCAGGGGGTCTGGGGAAGCAACAGGACTTTGAACCACACAAGCTCAAGCTCTCGGCTGCTGAGTCAACCACAAAACCTGCCTCCCTCCTCTGCCACTGAAATATCAGGCAAGTTACTTTTGCTGCTGTGCGCTCCTCCTTTCAAATGGGCCCATGTACTATCCTACCATCCAGAGCTGGATGAGACCAGATTTATCATAAAAGACTAAAAGGCCCGTAGCTGCTCTGATGAGGGGGCGGACTAAACATTGCAAATAGATAAACTATCATTTGCAGCGGGTAAGACTGCCATAAGTGAAGTGGTGTCTGAAAAATGGCAGAAGATGAGCTGGGATAAGAAGGGTTCTTCTCTCCTCTAAAATACTTTGAAACCTTGGAATAATTGGGTGTATAAGTGAAATCTGCCCTCAGGCATCTCTGCTGTGAGTGACCAGAGCTTTGCTGAGCATCTCCTGACCTTAGCGGCACTGCAGGAGTGGGCTGCTTTTTCCCCCCTCCCTAACAGCAATCTCTTCTTGAACAGTCCCATTGCTGCAGGAAGCACAAGGCAGCCTTGTCTCCCAGGTGTCCGGACCTTCTTTTCAGGCCTGTTTATTCCTTCACTCACATTTATTTTTGGCATTGAAAGAGTAACACAACTCTGCATTAAAGGGACGGTGTACAGCTGAACATTGTGGCTGGAATCCTCCCTCCCGGGGAAAGGCAATGGAAAAGACCCAATAAAAGACGCAACGCTGGCAAAACCTGGTTGCTCCTGGGCATGGTTCTGCTCTTCCTACCTAGGGAAACAATGCTGATGACTGTGGGGCACCCCCGGTTATCACCGGCAGAAATAAGAGTAAAATCAGGCTGAAGGCAGCTTGGCTTGTTTGTGCACTGAATAACAAAAGCCTCTCTCATTTACACGGGCCTTTTATGTGAAACAGTGACTCTCAAGCAGGGTGCTGTGGGCTCCTATTAAGGGTGACACAGAGTGCCGGGCAGAATTAGCACACTTCGGTGTGCAAACAGCCACGGGGGATGCACAAGATAAACCCCCAGATTTCAGTTGGGACTCCACAATGTCAAAAATGTCCTGCCCTGCCGGGGTCTTTCTGAGGTCTTTGCAACAGAAGACTTGCTCGATTATTTTTCTGCGGACGAAAACGAAGAGGTGGCGTTTTACAAGGAGGGTCTCGAGTCTTTAACAAATTTGAGAACCACTAATTTAGAAGAACCCCAGGCCTAATTTTCCGTTGTCCTGCTGAGTTGTTGTAACCGTGGTTTTCAAAGCAGCCCAATGGAGTTAGATGCCCATAGCCCATTACATTCCAGGTCACCCTCTGAAAATCCCAGGGCTTCATTAATATCGGTCTAAGAAGGGGAGTCATAACTACCAGCACACTGAGGAGGCAGCCTGCTCTATTAAGAGGAGCCAGCTTTAGGGGAAGAGGCTGCCAGAGACCTGCATCAAGATACAGAACGAGCAGAAAATCCAGGGTTTTCAATGCCTTAAGCATGGAGGCAGTGATCTCCCAGCTCATGGGCCCAATTCTGTTGCCACCAAAGCAGAGTAAAGGGGCTTTGGTCACAAGGTCTGGTTCATCTCTTGCTTGCACCAATATTAGACTTTGCTCTCCGTGGAGGTGCTCCCTGATTTATGCTAGTGCAGCTGGAGCAGATCAAGCCCATGGGCTGCAGCAGGAGCAGGACCATGTCTAAGAAACAGAGGCAGCGATCGCTGGCCACAACAGAAATGGAAAACTTAAGGGGAGCCTGGGTCTGTCTCGAATTCTGAGCATGTTTGCTGAATATTAACGCTGCATTAGTTATGGCAGGGTAAGTGCCGCTGGAGTCTTGGCTGACTTAGGCAGGGGGCACTTTGCAACAGATAAAACAGTATTTTCATTGCTGAGAGTTTTCCACCAGTGGTAAGAGGTGCCCCCGGGGACACCCAACGGACTCGGGATTGTCTTTGAAGAACTGCCGGGCTCAGGTCTCGCGCTGCTAAACCGTGAACCGAAACACCCACGCCTGCTGCATGAGCCGGGGTCCAGACTCTGTGCGAGCGGCAGCAGCCCAAGTGGGCCTGATGCTCTCTCAGAGGTGGGGGGAAGCAGCGCTTCGGAAATTTTGCGCATATAAAATACCAAAAAAAGGGAAAACGGAGGCATTATAACAACCATGGACACATTGAGAATTCAGTCACGTTTGTTCAGAAACTTGCAGCTTCCTTGCAATACCAATAATGATTATTTATAGCCCTCTCCACGAGGAAATTAGTCAAGAAAAAATGAATGATTATAATGTAATACAGTCACCACTAGGGAGAAGTCTGGCTCAAGGAGCAGACAGCTAAAATACCACAATATTTTTCTATCTAGAACTATAAGGGTTAGTGTAACTAGCATTTGTGTATTTTATATATAAGACCCAGTTCTTTTATGACTAATGCCCATTTAACAGCAGCTGAACTTCCCTGGAGTTTCTCCTGGCTTACACCCATGTGAGATGAGGTCCCAGACAATATTCTGTTTATATTTCGAATTCCATCGCCATTTGCTAACGGAGATCTGCGCTTCGGCAGCAGGAGGGGTTGGAGATAAGGGCGCTCTAGATGGCACACTGGTCGTGACTCTTATTTCTATCGTAGCAGCACTGAAGAGGAGCCAGGCTCTGCACAACCCCATGGTGAGAGACGGTCGTGCCCCAAAGAGAGCTCATGACCAAACTAGGTAAAGAGGGGAGGGAAAACGGAGACAAAGAAGGGAGAAGGAAGCGGTGCAAAGTCAGAGCAGAGGCAGGAATAGAGCCGTGGCCTCCCGATGCCCAGCCCTCAATCCACTCCTCCGTGCTGCCCTCCCCGCCCCGTCGTTGCCAAACTACTGTAAAGTGCAGATGTCGCATGCCCTCAACTGCAACCCCAACCCAGGCTGAGACGACCTTGTGTAGATAAAAGTGTGCACACGGATGGGCATTTCTTACCTGTCTCCATGGCCATTCCCAACCCTTGCACTGACTGACTGGTCCCTGTTGAAACCACCCTCTGTGCTCCAGGGTCATGCTGCCTTGCAGCTGACCTGTCTGATGCTCTGACAATTTGATGGCGCAGCCGCATCGTAACTCATAACACTTCCCAGTCTCGTGCGCCACAACCGTTTATATACCCATCTCTGGAGTAGACACCAGCCTTTAGATACGCCGATGGTCCTGTCGTAGTGCAGCTAGCCATACGCTGTTCAGTGCTGAAATACAATTCCACCATTAATCTATACACGAAGTGCCGTAGTCATTGTGATGATAATGTAATGGAGAGCAGTCCATTAACGAGGATCAGTTGTCTGCAATAGGCAAATTATTTTCTTTTCAAGTTTCCATCAGTATTAAGATATATTCATTATCTCTGTTTTATCCCCCCCCCCACCTCTGCCCCACATCCCTTCTTTATCTGATTTTGGTGCATTAAAGGTACCAGTTGGGGAACTGGGCCAACTCTGCTCTCTCTTCCACGGAGGTAACCTCAATGAGACGACTGGAGTTTTACAGGGTAATGGGAGGGAAGAAATGGACTGACCGTGGTTATATGTTCCCTACAGAGTCGCACTGTACTAGTCTGCAGCTAACACAAAGGCTCAGGATTAAATGCAGTGTGTTTTCAAGTGGTGAAACACCCTAGCAGCAGTTGAAAGTGAAGTGGAATTCATAAATGCCCTTTTCATCTGGATCAAACTGCTATGAGGTGCAGTTATGTTCATTAATGATGTCCTTTAAACCACATTGTGAAATTCCATTAACAATAAATGCTTTAAAAATGTATGACGGGCTGTAACAGCTGATTTATTGGAGGCTAAAACTATTAACAGTGTATGCAGCCTGAGCATATTTAAGGCTATTGAGCATGCTGGAGAGTGCCGTATGATGTATTAATACATGTACCACTTAGACAGTGTAAATAAACTTTCTTCCTGGCTCTGATGGTTTGAATTAGCAAGGTGCCCCCCAAGCTAACAGCATTTTCCACCCTACTGAAGTCCCTTAAGCACCTGTCCTACAAACAAGGGGCAGGCGGTTATTGCCCACCACGGGGTTTGTGCTCAGCACCTTAATGCCCAGGTGTAAAGTGGCTGTTTTTAATCAAATCTGCAAACCTGCAAGAGATGATCAATCCCTTTTACTACCAGTTCCTTTTACCATTGTCCTTTTACTGCAGGGCACAGCTGCTTCCCATTTGCAGCCCAGAACAACAATGCCACAGGCATCCCAGAACTGCTGCATCATTTGTTCACTGCCTGTGACCGTGTCCTGCTGCCTCAGCAGACGGTTGCTTTTAAAGATGCGCTTTCTTCTTTGCCCAGGAAACTCTGAGTCAGAGATGCAATGGAGGCAGCGGGAAGGCATGCTAGAAGCAGGCACAGTGGGTGACCGAATGATGCAGCAGTCCTGGGCTGCTCCAGCTGGAAGCAAGGAGCTAGCGAAGGCCAGCATTTCCTCCTCCAGGGAGTGAGCCGCTCGCCAAGCTTCACCTCCTATCACTGATCATCCCCCCAATCTAAAACTGCACAAACGTGCTGCCCCACGGATGCCTTGGGCAGGCGTCCCATGGGTTTGAATCTGCTGTGTAAAAACGCCATGTGATTACTGGAGTGCAAAACTCCTTCGAGCTGCATATGTTGAATTCACCAGGGATGGGCAGGCAGATCTGTAATACAGGATGATCAGCGCTCGGCGTCCGCTTGTTCCACTTACGAGGGGGGAAGTGGAGCCAATTAGCGGCAGCCTGCATCTTCTGTAACGGCTCACATGCCAACTTGTTAGATTGATTATTTTCTGTCCCGGCTGAGGTTGCAGCTCTCTGATTACTTCTGACCGAACGCAACTAGAAAACACGTAATGACGTGGGCCAAGGCACAGATAGCTGGCAGCTACAGATGTTTAATGCTTCACAAGTAAAAACATGAAGTATATCCCAAGGGGGAAAAAAAAAAACCTTTAAGTATGTGTTTATACTCTGTGACATTTTAATTCAAGCACTTACACTCTTCAGGCCAGTGTAAACGGCTGGGTTCTTGAAGGGGAAATGCTGGATGACGTAGCACGCAGGGCACAAGAGACCTTGTCCAGCTTCAGCTAGCCAGACGAAACCAGCCCAGACCAACACAGGTGGGACGCTGCTTGGCACCTCTCAAGCACTGTCATCCCTGTCCTGGGTCATCTTCTCCTTCCTCTGTGACCTTGCTCCAGTGGTGAAGAAAAGTAGGGATGCCCAGCAGTGAAGGAGTGAGGAAATGGGCCACCGAAAAGGAGAGAGAGGCTGATAGGGAAAATTAAGAGAGAGACTCACCATGGCAGCACCCAGAGACGGGGTAAGGAAAGGAGATGTGTATTCCCTTTGGGAGGATGGGCAGAGCAAGCTGAATATAAGGTGCTAAAAGAACAGGAAGGCAATCGGAGTAGAAATATGGAACAAGAGAGCAAGAATAGCAGGCAGCGTTGAGGGGAGGGGAGACTTGACGGATAGAGGAAAGCAAGCAAGGGAAAATTGGGAGGCCTATAGACTACAAAGGAAAGGAGGAGTAAAAGTGTAGATGCATGCAAGAACCAGCTGGTGCAACTGGGCATCAGTGCACCTACCTCGGTGGAGCTCCACTGGCTCGCCTCAGCGGGGGGAGATGTATTGAACATAACCAGCCACTAGTTCATGGCCAAATTTCTAGAGCTGCTTAGCAAGCTTAGCTCCTGCTGACACTAATGGGGCCTAGACATGTTTGCCACAAGGCAGTCGTGCCCCAACGCATGAGAAGAGCATGCCAGCTTGCACACCAGAACTGGCACCTGCTTTTTGCTTTTTTTTAGCCGAGTCTCGGCTGGGCTTCCCCACTGAAAGCAATGGCAATAAGGCTGGGGGAGCCCAGCCCAGCCCAGCAAAACTGTCACCCATTGTCTGTTTGCCAGTCATCAGAGGAGCAGTTTGTCTTGCTTTTGCCGACTGCCTGGTAAGGGCCGTGATTTCCATGTCTGAGTAAAGCCTGAGTAGGGGTGAGAGGCATCCGTTCTGCTGGTTAAAGTGAAATGTTTGGCTTGTTGGCACGGCTTGTTTAGTTTGGCTCTCACCATGCGGTCGCTGTTATTAGAGTAAGCAATAAAAATGCATTAAACTACATTAAAACAACATGGAGCCTGCAACGCCAACCAAAAACAGCAAGGGGTTTCAATGCTGAGACAGCCATTCGCACCTTCAATCGCGATGTTGCACTTAAGGATGGTGGAAGCAACCTCACAACTACAGTCGATGGTTAGGGGCATCGTCCTGGAAGCCACAAAGCCTGGGTTTGATTTCTGCCCTTAATGTCTGGCGTGGCTGCTTAGGCCAAAGGGGAAGGTGGGGGGTTCAGGCTCCTCAAACCCCCAAACTAAAGTTGTGGCCACACTACAACAACACTAGGGCAGCTAAAGCTCTCAGGGGGAGACCCAACCTTGCTAGCACAAAGGACATTTCTGGCCCCAGAGCAACCCCAACTCCCCAGCAGCTGCTTTCTGCCGACAGCTGCATCCACGTGGGGGTTTTGCAGGCGGTGATGGGGGATGATGGTTTGACATCCCTGTTCGATGCAGCACTAACACCCTGTAACACAGAGCAGGGATGAGGCCTGAGCATGTCTGAAGAAGCTGGCCCCCAGCTTCAGTGAAGATTTAACAGCCCGTTGCACCTCAGTTTCCCCACCAGTAAAGGGAGGAGGACCCTGCCCTCTCCCCCATGCACACTGTGCAGGTGGAGCCATGGTGCTTGCCAAGCACTCAGACATCCTCAGACCAATGGCGCTGTTGAAGCATGATGCTCTTTCTATCCCCTTCCCGTCCTATGCGCGAGCATCTGCAGCTCCTGTGACAGGAGCGCGCTAAGTCTGTCTGCAAATACACCGGTCTCAAAAACACATAGCATAAGCCTGGGTTTTGTCAAGCCCGTACACTTTATTGCATGCTGCCTCTTTGCATTCACTTTTGAGAGAATTAACATGCAAGAGCACTGCCCTGAGGGGTCTGGTTTTTGGTGCTGAAGCCCTCCCTCCTCTTCTCACTTGAAAACAGACCAGGATGGCCACAGGCACTAAACTTAACCTTGTCCTTGAAGTCCTCATTCACCTCGGGAATGTGTCTTCATGCTTTGGTCGGCACTTTAATAAGGGGCACTTCAGTTCTTCCACTGCCCACTCCGCCTTCCTTTTGGGAGCTAGTTTTCAGTCTCTCCTGTTTGCAAAGCCAAATCCTGTTTAACACAGTTACCTTTCTTTGACACAGGTAATGGTCACACCTCCAATAATTAGGTGCCTAATCCATTAATTATTCACATTTATAGGGCTTGGCTTTATTACCTATATCGGTAGCATAACATTCGGTGGTCTGACCTGCCAGCTGGATTTGGGAAAGGCAATATTTAATTTTCCCAGTGTCATTCTCATGGGGATCAAAATATTCTTGGACATTTTTTAACTGCTGTGCGTAGCAGCCTGCTGTCCGCCGTGCCCTGTAGGTACTACTGCAGGTCTCCGGAGCCCGTGACCTGCCGCGCCTTGGCTCACACTTGCAGAAAGCAATATATGCCTGTCACGTGGCAGGGGCAGCATTCACGTGAGCCACTGGCTATGGCCACAGACACAGCTTCGTGCCACAGTTGCTTCTCTTCATCTCTACTACTGTCCCAGCATTAAAAAAAGGACAGGGATTCCTCCCACCTTCGTCTGGCTGCGTCTTGCCAACGCGCTTGCTGCCACGGCAGGGTTTGCACGCGGCGAGCAGAGGGCAGGTTTTGAAAAAAATCAGACTCAACACTATTTTGGTTCTGACTCTTCCCAGCCTTCAAACCAAATCATCTGTAGCACCCACCTCTTGGATCCCGCCAGACGCCCAGCTCCCTGGGGCAAACCCAGCCTTTTTTATTTGTCCATCCAGCATCAAATGGTGATGGCTGTTGATTGGGCTTCCTAAGTGCTACACAGCAAAGCATATGAGCCACAGCATCCCTAGAAAGCGTGAAGTCAGCCTTGTTGGCCTTCACCTGCTGGTTGGCAGTGAGCAGACGTCACCACCAGCTCTGCAAAGCATATGCACAGCCAGGTGCTCCTGGCAGCTCCACAGGTCTCTGCTCAGCAGCTGTGCTGGCAGAGCCTAAAGGGCACCCTGGGAAGGCAGCAGCTGCTGAAGGGACAGTGACAGCCTGCAGTAGGCACAGAAGGGACTAGCGATGCCTTCGGGAGGTTGGTGGACACTGGCAGAAGCCTTGCTCCACTTAGCAGCATGGGCCCTTCAGAGCCACCCGAAGCTTTGCTGGCAGAACCATGCTGGGCAGCTCTCGTCTTGTGCTTGAGAAGGATGCGAGGCGAGCGATGTCCCTTTGGCCATCCACTGATACAGTTCAGAGGATGGGCTTGAGGCAGGAGGTGGGAATTACAAGACCTGGATCACCAGCCTGAGCAATGGCTGCATGTCCCTCCCAGTGGGCTCCCTTTTTCGGGGTGGGGGGAAACGGCGAGTTAAGGTGCAACAGCAGACCTCACAGGCAGGGAACGTGTTTCTGTAGGCTTGACCTCTTGCAAGTACAGCAATTGTTTACTATCCTTGGAGCGATCCAGAAGGGACTATAATGTGATAATTATAGAGAAACCGTCCTAAAAATATATTTCTGATGCATCAGCAAAAACCTCCAGCAGGCCCCTCCAGCTGGCGTGGGAACATGCGAGTTAAGTCCAAGCTGCAAATCCAGCCACGCATTACAGCTTGCGCAGCTGTGCAGAGACTCGGGCAGCGAGTGACGGATGGCA